AAAAAATCAATGCACCATCTTAGGGTTTATAGTTTATGATTTAGATAATAAGGACATAGAGTTTACTCATTAAGGGTTAGGGTATAGTGTCATGCCCAAAAATCCTGCTAATTCGAGGTCCAGATAGCTTTTTCGTACTTAAGGTATGCGGTACCCCGGATTTCACCCGGGGTACCATAGAAGGCACCATATGTATATATATATATATATATGGCAAAGACTAACATACACCTGGCATACGTCGTATATCTATGTTCACACTTATTTATTTAATTATTATTCTTAAATTAATTTTATAATTAATTTATTGTCAATCATAATTACAACGAATTCCATTAATTTATTTTTCTATTCACTATACACCCATAACATTTCATTTCATTCATTATGTTTAAATCATCATCTAAATATCATTATATGAATTATAGTGCCTGCTTTCATCAATTAAGATTTAGAATGCCCAAACTATTTTAAGTCCAATTGAGGTATCGTTTGTGTTCTTTTCAAGTCTATTTGCCTGGTTTTCAATGGAGGCGCCGTCGTGCTGTGTTGAGGAGGGATTTCATGAAGAGAGCCCTCGTCTTGAAGACCTGCTGTCGTTGGGTGAGATCTGGAAACAGCAATTTCACTCGTGTTGCTGTCTGGTCGAGGAGCGAGGGAGAGGAAGCCAACTGTGTTCGATCCTCTGAGTTTCTCATTCCGGCGCAATCTCGATCGCCTGTTTCGAACCCGGCCTTTTGAGGAGGGATTTCGTGGATTTCGTTCTTCTAAGGCGAGGGAGATGAAGCGCCTATTTTGGGTTCTCTGGGTTTTGTCACTCCAGCGCAGTCCCGATTCCCTATTTCGATCCCGACGACTTGAGGAGGGATTGTGTAGATCCCAATCGTATGCGGTGATGGAGATGAAGCATAAGTTTCGGTCCTCTGGGTTTTTCCTTCCGCTAATCTTTGATTTCCCCCTTCTCGTTTCTCGCACTGTTACCATGGAGATTTCCGCCATGGATTTTGCGGATGTTTCAATCGAAGCAAGTTTCGTGCTTCATAGGTTGGAAGGTTCGAATTTTGGTTTCTATTGTATTGTTGATCGAGGGGAAAGAGAGGTTGATGGGTTCCGCATTACTTTTCCCCTGCTATTGTAAACTCCAGGTTCTGGATTCGTTGGGAATTGAGGTTCTGTGTTGTGCGAAAAATTTGTTATTGTTGGTTTCGTTCAATTCTCTATTTGCTAATTCAGTAATTTGTCTGCAATTATCCCAAGGATAAGAGATGAATGAGACAAAACGACAGATGATGTTGCTTTGTGAATTGTAATCGCAGGAGCAATGGAGTTGTAAATAATCTTAAAGTTTGGCTATTCTAAATTGATGGTTTGGAGAAAATGGCACTATGATTTATTTAATTGCTAGTTAAATGCTTGATTTGAGTGTAATGTACGATAGAAACTGATATGGGGCTAAAATGTATACAACAAATTATTAATGGGTTTGATTGTAATTTATAATTAATAATTAAATTGATTATAATTACATCAAAATAATTAATAATTAATTTATAGGTGTGAATACAGGTGTATAGCGTACGCCTGGTGTACGCTAGCCTGAACCATATATATATATATATAGCAAAGGCTAGTGTACATGTACATGTCCGTATTTCCTAATGTTGTTCGTTGAGAGTTTATCCTGAGTTGCCATCCAAGTGAATACATGGACTCTCTCTGGACATTGAAGCTTCCAAATACGGCGCCAAATGCACATATTAGTGATTCCTGTTAAAAGTAAGGTTAACGAATATAAGAATAAGATCATACTTTGTCGTTGTGCCATAGATTAGTCCCAACGATCATCGTTGGGGAAACCAAGTAAACTTGTGTCTCGTGTTCTTCTTTTTCTCGTATTGATTGACATGGTATCAGAGCCTCTTGTCATCTCGTCGTGATTAGATCGTGTTTTTGGACTGCTGTTCTTTCTAGTCGCTCGATTCTGTGCGACGATTCTTTGTGTCGTGATTTGTGGCTTCTCGTGTTCGTGGTGTTCGGCTTCTCGTGCTCGCGGTATTTTCCGGGTCTCTCTACTGTGCAGATTATCATGGAAAGTTCGAAGACTGACGTGATTGCGGTTCGCTTCAATGGTAAGAATTATGCGTTATGGGAACTGCAATTTCGCCATCATGTTCAGGGTCGGCGGCTTTTGCCGATTCTCACCGGTACCTCGGCTGCACATGGCGAGACGGCTACGTCGAAGGAGAAGGAGGATTGGGTTATGTACAATGTGCAGGTTATGTCTTCTCTTCTTGGTTCGGTTGATCCTGGCATTGTCCTTAGCTTGAGGGGTTTTGATACAACGGCTGCAATTTGGGATCACTTGAAGAAGCTTTATTCCAAAGCTAGGGTTTCCCGCAAGTTTGAAGTGGAGCAGGCCCTTTATCTTTTACGCCAAGTAGATATGGACATTAGCACTTACTATCAGGAGGCGGTGACCCTATGGACAGAGCAAGAATTGATCTTGGCCTCGTTATCCTCCTCACCAGCGACGTCGGATACGCTTCTTGAATGCGCCAGCTCGCGCGTCATGCGCTTCCTTATGCAGCTGCGGCCGAAATACGGAGGGATAAGGGCTTCTCTATTGCACCACAATGTATCAACTATGGAAGATGTGCTTTCTGAATTACTTCGAGAAGAAACGCGCCTTAAGAGTCAAGCAAAGCTTGACATCCATGCTACTGAAACTGGGGCAGCATTTGCCGTTGGTGCTGGGAAATCGCAGGGGACAGGTAGACCTCAATTTCACCGCACAGCTAAGGGTGAAATTGTGTGCTTTCACTGCAAAGAACCGGGGCATATCCAATTTCAATGTCCTCAGCGCAACACCTGTAACTATTGTAAGCTTGAAGGCCACCTCATTGCAGCGTGTCCCACTCTTGCTCAACGTCGACGCTCTCGGTCTGGCGGAGCTTGTGAGGGAAAGACCATTAAAGCGTGTCCTAAACTAGGAGCGATGGCCTGGTAAGCCGAATTGGTGTGGAAAAGACCATTGCCTGAGAAATTCCAGATGATCTGATCATGAGCATTGGCGATAGGGTCAAGCATAGTCCCATAATTAAAACGTGTTCTAGTAGGATAATTATTCCATTTAATAATTATCCTTTATTATAGCTTTTAAAACTATTCACACCAACAGAAACAAATATCAAAACGAAAAACCTCAAACTAGTTTCACTCACGAACCAGTACCACAAACCCCCCAGACAAGTAAGGCTAAAACCACACTAGTACCACAAACCCCCAAACCAGTACTACAATACCCAATAAACTAGTACTACTAAAACCAAAATAGTACTACAAAACCAAAGGAATAGAAGAAGGATGAGGAGAGGATTACTGAAGAGGGCGAGAATGAGAAGCAACCCCATATATGGGTTTGGAAGGGGCGTAGAGGGAGGGGGAGAGGACAATAGATGGGCAAGGGTGAAGAGTGACTGACTAGAGGCCGATGGTTTGGAATAAGAAGAGACCTTAGATTGGATTCCATGAACTATTTCACAGCTACCTCATTGTCATCGTGGAGCACGACCTTGTATGAGATCTAGAAAGCGCCCTTACTAATCATTTCTATTGACGCAGTTTCCACAATGATAAACCTTGAGTAAGTGGTCGTCTCCCCCATGAGGGGTTGCACACAGTAGTGATTTTAGGGTACGATAAGGAGGTATTGGAGGGCTTGGATATCACGTGGACCGATTTTACATTTCGGGTGGGTAAGGCGCCGGTAAGAAAGGAAGAGAGAAAGAGGAGAGACAAGACGGTGGAGATGAAGAGAGGGATATGTAGAGCAATAGATAGCAATCCCATATGATAAATTTCCCCCAAAATAGCCCGTCCTCATCTCATAAATTTTAAAAATTAATGGAGGAAAGAGAAGGAATTCAATGGTGTAGATAGGGGTTGTCCATTCGCAAACCTCTTTTCAGGTTTGCACGATAACCTATTCCTTCGAGTTTAATAACAAGGTAACCTCAACTATCTCGCGGATTGGAGAGTCCACTTTGGTTAATGAACTTATGATCTAGAGGCGATACAATGGAAGATGAATATCTCACAAGCACACTTTAATCCTCAAGACCGAATTCAAATTCTAAAAATCTCAATTCCTAGACAACCTTATGTGGACCGAATTGTTTGGAGGTTGGAAAAGCGTGGAATTTAATCGGTGAAATCAGCCTACCACCTTTTGAAAGATAAATAGGAAGACATTCAGGGTGAGCTATATACTTCTATTAATTGGGATCGGTTTTGGGGGCTGAAAATTCCACCAAGGTGAAGGTTTTTGGATGGAAGTGGATTTTGAACGTCTTTCCCATTGGCGCAAATATTGTGGATAGGATTCTGAAGGGTGTGATGAGTGCCCATTTTGTGTCCTAAGAGAAACAAAGAAGCATATTTCCTATGATTGTGGGTGGGTGAAAAGGGTGTGGAGACCTAGTTCCCTAAATAGATTCTTCAGCAAAGGAGATAGTCTTAACTGTGAAGAGTGGATGGTGGCATTGCAAGAGGAGGAGGAAGACTCTGAGATCGGCAATTTTTTTGTGGCATTATGGTACATATGGGATGAAAAGAATTGTCAGCTCTGGAACAAGAAGAAATACGAGGAATGAGAAATCCTAGGAAAAGCAGCAAGATGGCTCAAGGAGTGCCTTGATAATCAGGCGAGGAAAGAGGAGATTATATAGAAGCGAGTGTATTGCTGGAAGCCGCCGGAGACTGCTTATTTCAAGATCAATGTGGATGCGGCTTGCTTTGACGGAGGAGGCATGAGACTTCGTGAGGGGAGGGTAGGGAGCTTCGAACTCCCCATACTGGCATCGATATGCCGTGGACCCCCTACTACTTGGGTAGGTCAGATTCTAATATGGTAGAATCAGCTCAACCCAGGTTCGCCTACTGTTGGTTTGATCGATTTTGGTTCGACCAATGTCTATCTGATCGGTTCGTTGCTGCTCGATTTAAGCAGCTTGCCTAGCCTCGCTCGATCGGCTCAGGATGCTCCGGTTCTGACCTAGGACGACTCTCATCTTGGACAGGCCCATCAAGCTTATTCCAGCATCTCTTGGGTCCGTCCTCAGTAAACCTAGCTCATTGAGTTCCGGTCTGTATCCAAACTCCTCTTCTTGGTCTACAAACTCATCAAATTCCAAGTCCGCTCGGAGTTCCAAGTCATCATACCCAAGCATCTTGGTCTTTCCCCCGAAGGTCGCCCTCTCTTGGGCCGTCGGGTTTGGTAGCAACCCGTCTTTGCCAAGCGACTCAAAGGAGATGTGGCCCGCACGTGTAAGTGGTTGTCAGCCAGGTTTAGCCGGCGCCACCTCCTCTCCATCCACCGCTCCGCTCTTCAACATCCTAGACGGAGCTTAGGAACCGCCCACCATCATGCGTCGTCTTCAAGGCGGAGTCCTTGCTCGGTTTGGCACCCTGTCCTGCCGAGGCCACGACTCACGTCCACTTTTCCACCATCGTTCGTGTCGCCTTTGTCGTGGGCGTGAGGCTGCTCAACTACTCTTGTATGGACGTCACTGCCGCCAACAATCCATCTAGAGTTTGGTGGTGGTCATTTGATTTTGCCTGCAACCCCCTTAAGCTCTCCTCAAGTCTTGCCTATTTTCGAGCCTGTGTCATAACTATCTTCTTCAACTCTTCATTATTGGTTTCATCCTCCTAGGCTTTGTCGACTTGCGATCCATAACTCTTTCCTTGAACCATCTTTTCTCGTGATGCCTTTTCAGCGGCCATCTCTGCAGCAGTCATTGACTTGTTCGATACCATCGTTCACTTGCTCGCACCCTGGTATAGAGTCGTGACAAAATCGTGGCCGAACCAGTTTCTGATACCAAATATTAGAAACAAGGTTGCTAACGAGATTTGGATTGGGGGAATGGCTAGATCAATTAGGAATTGATCTAACTAGGGATTAGAAATGAGTGGGGATTGAATAATAAAGGGGAAGGGAGGAGAGGAGTTGTTGCCGCAGCTTTAGAGAGGAAAGAGGGAAACGCAGAGGGGAAGATTAGGATTGGATAACTTTGGTCTGTAATTGCGTGATTGCTTAAAATCCCACTAAATTACAAAATTTATATCCCTACTAATATCCTTTTCATACCCAATTACCCCAACATAAAGAAATATTCCCTAATTATTCCCAGTTCCCCCAATAATCCCCAAATTGTATCAAACCATAAACAAATGATAAACAATCCCAAATGACAAATGAACAATAATTGTGTTTCTAACCTCCCCGCCTCCTTGGGAACAACATTGTCCTAAAGGTTGTGGCCCCTACTCCTCGTCCAGTTTCTTGTCCTCGACACCCTCTTCCTCTGCCTCATCCTCCTAGTGCTCCACTAGCATCATCAAATCAGGCTTCACGCACTAGTGACCGGAGGTGAACCTCTCGTTGCAGTTGAAGCACTACCCTTCACGCCTCCTCTGCTCGAACTCTGCAGGAGACAATCTAACGAACCCTTTGGGTGGGGCTCGAGGTCCTAGTCTGGCCACTGTTGGCGGCGTCCCTGCTAGAGCGCCACTTCCAGGGTTTGCATCGGTGGGTGCCACTCCTCCTTCGCTACTCGGCCCACAGATACTGCCTCCTCCACTAGGCCTTTGTTAACGGCATATGGTACTTCTCCAGCTCGCTAAATCCTCCTCCTCCTTAATTCCTACAACTTTAAAGCGGTTCGCAAGGAATCAGGTTCAAATACCCTGTCTGTAGCAGCTATCTAAGGTCGGAGTCCTGCTAAGCATAACCCTACCAATGTCTCGTCTGGTACTCCCTTACACCGATTGCCCAACTTGAAGAACTCTAATATGTATTCTGACATTGTCCCAGTCTGATGTAGCTTTATCAGCTGCTCTGGGGCCCACCCTTGTGACTTACAAAAATGGTACAACAGCTTTTCCTTAAACATGGGGCAGGTGATCAACGTATGTGCCTCTGTGTACGACTGCTCCATCCACTCCCACCATTGTAAGGCATCACCTTCTAGGTAAGAGGAAGTTTGTTGCGCCTTTCGTTCTTTCCTCGTGGGATGGTTCTCAAACCACTTGTCAGCTGCATTTGCATACAACAAGAGGCTGACGTCCTACCGTCCATCGAAATTTAGAAACTCAATGGTTTGAGGTTTGGTCCTATACACAAGATCATCATCTGTTATCTGTATCATAACCACGAGGATATTCAGCATACCTGCCATAACCTTGAGCTCCTTCATGGTGGTCCCGTGGGAACTGCGGCTCTCTGTCTTATCCCCATGCTTCCACTCCCTCGTCCGGGTAACCTTCATACCCCTCTGGTCAACCCCTCTGCCTCTGCCCAGCATTCAAAGTTCCGTTTGTGGGCCTCCTCTCATCCCGATGAGTCATGAAGGGAGAATAGGGAGCTCCGGACTCCCCATACTGGCATCGATATGTCGCGAATCCCCTACTGCTCGGGTAGGTCGAATTCTAATCTGGTTGAGTTGGTTCAACCTTGGTTCTCCCATTATTGGTTCGACCGCTTTTGGTTCGACCAATATTGGTCGACCGGTTCGTTGCTGCCTGATCTCAGCAGCTTGTCCCACCTCGCTCGAGCAGCTTAGGCTGCCCAAGTTCCCACCTAGGCCGGCTCCCATCTTCGATAAGCCCATTAAGCTTAGTTCATCATCTCTTGGGTCCGTCCCCAGCCAACCTAGCCCATTGGGTTGTGGTCTGTGTCCAAACTCATCTCCTGATCCATGAACTCATTAAATTTTAAGCCCGCTCGGAGGTCAAGTCATCATACTCAAATATAAGGCAACACATCAATACCATCTCATTGCTAAGAAAGGATAATGGCACAGAGGTGACAAATGTAGAGGAGATTGGTAAGGTTGTTGTTGAATTTTACAAGAAACTACTAGAGGTGAAAAACAATAAAGTGAAGACTTGTTACGTAGAGGACATTCAAGAGTTACTCTTCCATAGATTGTTTAAAGAATAAGGAGCAAGGTTGTGTGCTAAGGTTTCCAATGAAGGGGGAAAAAAGAAGCTCTATTTGGAATGGGATCAAATCAGGCTCCTGACCATGATGGCTGCATAACTAAGTTCTAAAAAGCTGCTTGGAGCACAGTGGGATAAGAGATAATAGAGGAAGTCTCATCCTTCTTTGAAACATATTTTCTGCCAAAAAAGATCAACTATATAGTTCTATCATTTATTCCTAAGGTACTTGGTGCTGACCATATGAAGTTGTTCAGACAAATTACATGTTGTAATGTGCTTTATAAATGCATAGCCAAGATCCTTGCTGATAGGTTGTTTAGAATTCTAATTTCTACATAATCTTATAAGTAAAATCTCGTCAACATTTGTGAATGGTAGGAGCATCTGTGATGACAGCCTTTTAGCTTTATAATTTATGAATTGCTATAACAGGAAGCATATGTCCCCTAGATGCACCATGAAGATGGATTTGATGAAGGCTTTCGACTCGGTAGATTGGAAGTTTCTTTTAACTGTCCTGAAAAGCCAATGTAGTCAAATGTGTGTTTCTAAGCAGAAGCGGAAACATGAGTAAAAGCGTAAAAGCATACAGTAAAAATGCAATTTTTTGTGTGTGTATAATCAGATTAATATTCAACAAACTACATGTCTTATGTAGAAAGGTCACTACTCATGTAAATAATCTAATTCGACAAACTTTTAATAGTGGAGCAAACTTACAACTAAACAAACAATGCAATAAGGAAATAATGAGGCTTCTTCATTCATAAAAAAATATAACCAATTAACAACTACACTCCATTATTGGTCATTTTGTTTCAATTGGGATGTCAAATTAAATTGGATTACTGTGATTTCTTTTATTATAAGGTTCTTTATCCATTGAACGCGACAAATCAGATTATTAATAAATATTAATAACTTAAGTCTCACATAAAACATCAACACAATCACGTAATGAAGTTGTGATGTAACATCCTCATCCCTCTTGAATATGACATATGTCATGCTCATCCCAACATTTGAGTGATTTTTAAATATGAAGCAATCATTGAATTGATTAACTACAACATGAGAAAGTATTTGATTAATTGAGTTGTGGTTAAACTAATTTTAAATTTAAAATAAAGTGAAGTGAATTGAAAGATTAAGGGCTTAATTGTAACCATTGGAAAATTGGATGGTTTAAGTGGCAACCAAGTTTTCATTTTGCAGCAAAGCATTGAGTTCAAAAGAAGATAACAATAAAACTCGTCGTTGGATCGTCTTCAAATTTGTAGTACGCGTTCCATACTTTCTAGGATCCTATCCAACCGTTCGGATCATTGTTATGATTTCTGGTTCATCGAGAATGTTAATGGTCAGACAGGGTGCAACCTTGTTTTCCTATAGCTGAATAGTTGGTTCCAGGGAGGATTCTAGAGAAACCAACCGTTGGATCGTCTCAAAACTTTAAGGATAGATTTAAGACTTGTTGTAGGTTAATTTGACCGTAGGAATAGATGTTCAAATCGCTGGTTTATTGGGAGAGAGGGTTTGAAATTTGTTGGAATTCCATCACCTAGACACGTACAAAAATGGATTAAAATGCGTTTTTGACCGTTTTGACTGTTTTTTACTGTTGTTTTTAACGTTTTTACACACAATACTTTTTTATATAGAAACTGAAGCATTTTGCCTAGTCAATAACGTAAAATTGTGCATTTTGCGTTTAAGACGCATTTTTTACTACATTGCTAAAAGCTATGTGTATCCCTTCCTAGTTCGTAGATTGGATAAAAACTTGTATCACCACACCTAGATTCAGTGTGTTGTAAATGGAGACACTTGTGGGTATTTTCTAGCACAAAAATGGCTCAGACAGGGGAATCCTCTCTCCCTTTTTCTATTCTTAGTAGCTATGGAGGTTCTTTCATGTATTCTCTCTAGATAAGCAACCACAGGTGGTTTACCCTATCACCATATATGCGACCATATTGGCATAACTCATTTGGTATTTGCAGAGACTTATTTATCTTCTCAAATGGGTCAGAAGGGGTAGTTTAGACTCTATGTGGTGTGCTAAGAGATTCTATATGTTATCAGGGCTACCCTTTAATCCATAGAAAAGCTAGTTTTTCTGTGTAGAGTCACAAAGGCAGAACGTGGAAGAATAGCCCAACTGGCAGGGTTTCAGCAAGCATCTTTCCCAGTGAGATACTTGGGGTACCTTTAATCTCAAGAAAGCTCACCATAGATGATTATAGAGTGTTGATTGAGAAACTAACAAAGATTATCAAAGGTTGAAAGGCTATACTACGAAGCTAAGTAGTAAATTGCATCTCATTAACTCAGTGCTTAGTAGTCTATCACAGTTCTGGATGATTGTTTTCTTGCTTCCAATGTCAGTGATAAATGAGATCGAGGAGAAGTGTAGTAAGTTCTTATGGGGGATAGATGAATGATCAACTAGAACTATAGTTGTGGTAGCTTGTGGGTCTTTAGCCATTCCAAAGGAGCAAGGAGGTATGGGTGTAAAATGCTTGAAAACCTAGAATGTGGCTTGTACATCTCGATTGATTTGGAATCTTTAGACACTAGGAGGATCCTAGTGGTTTGTATGGATCTACATGTATCAAATTAAGGACAAATCCTATGAGAACTCAAGCCTACTAGCTTTTGTTCATGGATACGGAAGAGGTTTCTGAAGAATAGAGACAAAGTAGAGCACATTCTTAAAATGTTGGGGTACTCAGGACTACTAGAAGGACAAGAGACTGATCACCTACTCAATCAAAACTATATGGGAAGATCTCCAACCAGCAAGAGCAAAAGTTATTTGGTGCAAATTGGCCTGGCCCTAGTTTTATATCCTAACGCATAATTTTCCCAACTGGTTGGTTACTAAGCGCATATTTACTACTAGAGAGAACCTTAAGCTCCGAGGGAAGATTAATGACGATAGTTTTCTATTATGTGGCACAGGGCAGGAGAGCATAGACTATCTCTTCTTCACCTACTCTTACTCCTACAATGTGCTTAGGGGTTGTCTCCAAATGTTACAGGTGTCAACAGTATGTACAGTTTGAGGAATACCTCAGCTAGGAAATTCATAGGTTTGCAGGTAATAAACCAAAGGCAACATTAGAGAAACTGTTATGGAACTTGTTGATCAATTTCCTATGAAGGGAGGGATATGCTAGAGTTTATGGTGGGAAAGAAACTGCCATATGGAGAGCTGGTTAGATCAGTCAGAAGAAATATAGAAGTAGCTGGGCTAGGTAACTATCGATTAGATGTTATTTGTAATAAAGTTTTGTTGTAAAATTGTTATATAGTTAGATTTGGTGGTCCATATTAGTAGAGTGAAGAGTAGCAGTACCACAAGTGCTGCAAATTTTGCAAATGAGTATTAATCTTTTGCAAAAAAGTGTTTTATTGTCACAATAGGCAAAAATTGTTATAGTTATATTTTGGGATGAAATGACGGAGTTCTTATGAGAACTCCAAAGTTAAACCTGCTCAACGTGGAGCACTACAAGATGAGTGACCTTATGGGAGTCACCTTGATATGCACCCCAAGGCAAAATCTTTGAGGGTGTGGGCCCAAAGCGGACAATTTCTTGTCGAAAAAAGGTTCGCGAGCTTATAAATACATTCCTCAAAAAAGTTTTAACTACTGAACGGATATAGGCATGTGATGTGATAGGCATAGGCATTGTAGTAAAAAAAAAATTAGCAAATATTCTAAAATTTTCCTCTGATAAAACTTGCATTTCTTAAAAATTTATGTAAAATATAAAAAAGTTTATGTCGATCAGATAACTTAGCATAAAATTAAGGTCGTCTGAAGTTCTTACGTATATTACTAGCAGATCGCTCAGGCTTAAGTGACAATCTAGATCGCTGTTGTCTGAAGAGAACCATCTAAATCACTGTTGTCTGAAGCGATTCACTTTCCAAAATTGCTTAATTGTGTAGCGAACCACCACAAACTTGTGTATTTCATAGAATTTTAGTGTAAGTGTTACATTGTTGAAATTTTAGAGTAACTCTTATATTTTGTAAAAACCCAAGAAAAAGAGGTCTTCAATTGTCTCTTCATCCTAGTGACAGGCAAAGATAACAATAACACTCATGAACGCGCACAATTCTGTAATTTTAGTATTCTAAGGTTAATGAAGTGGAGAAACTTTAGTACCTTGATAATGTGTTATGATTATTGCAAGCAAGAAATGAAGAATCACACATGATGTATAGTGGATCGACAGAAACAAGTCATTGGTGTACTATACTCAAAGGAACTCATCGGATAAACCAAAACATATAATTCATTAATGGATATGCACTAATGCTTAATAGGGAGCAGTGTCTTGGAAACATCAAAGTTAGACTGTAATGATCAATCTAAGATAAGTGAAGTTCAATATTATAGCCCGCAAAAACTTGCGTAAATAAATGTGCTTTGTAAAGGTATAAAGTTAGCCCGTGCTAGAAATGTTATGCAATAATCTCATCATAGATATGGGAAACATACTATTGATCGATGAATATATAGCTACATTATGTGAGTTGAATTTCTTAGATCAAATGATAACAAATGTGGGGTACGCCTTGAGCTTAACTAAAACATCAAAGGGAATGGATACATGACCTTGTACAAGTCATCACGGGGGTAATCTTTATAAGTAGGATTGGTGGACCCAATCTCTAGATTTGAAGGAGAATACAAAGTTGTGAAGGTACGACATTGTCAAATTATCCAAAGTTAATTCTCA